CGCGGGAGGAGGAGCTGGAGAAGGAGGAGCGGCAGGGGAAACGGGAAGGGGGTTAGGAGCGGGAGAAGGAGCACGAGGAGAAACGGGAAGGGGCAGAGGAGGCGCGGGAGGAGGGGCGGCAGAAGGAGCGGGAGGGGGAGCGGGAGGGGAAACGTGGAGGGGGTTAACTAACGCGCAGAAGGCGGAGGAGGGGGAGGAGATATAGGTGGAGGAGGAGAAGCGGGAGGAGCACGAGGACGAGCGGGAGAAGGAGCGGCAGGAGGAACGGGGGAAAAAGCAGGGGAAGCAGCGGGAGAAGGAGAAGCAGCAGGGGGAGAGCGGGAGAAGGAGGAGGAGGAGAGGGAGGAGCAGCAGGAGAACGAGCGAGAGCGAGGCTATGGCGAGATCTTTGTCACGTTGTTTGGCGGAGCAGGAGTGCGAGGGGGAGGAGGAGGAGTGGGAGGAGCGCGAGAAGGAGGGAGAGGAGGAGTGGGAGGAGCGGGGAAGGAGCGGGAGCGGGGCTATGGCGCGGGAAGAGGAGCGGGAGGAAGGGGAGGAGGAACGGGGGGAAAAGCAGGAGAAGCAGCGGAAGGAGGACGCGCATCAGGATGAGCAGGAGGAGCAGCAACAGAGGGAGCGAGAGAAGGAGAGGGAGGAGGAGTGGGAGAAGGAGCGGGAACGGGGCTATGGCGGGATCTTTGTTATGTTGTTTGGTGGAGGAGCGGGAGGAGGAGGAGCGGGAGGAGAAGCAGGAGGAGGAGTGGGAGAAGGAGGGGGAGAAGGAGGGGGAGGGGATTGGGGATGGGGTTCCATCTCACAACCCCTTTCTCCATACTCTCCTTCTCATTTTGCACATTCGAAGGCTGCTCAGTTCATGCACACATGAAACTGTTGAAGCGGCCCTGCCTGCGCGCGTGTGTGTGTGTGTGTGTCACACACACACACACACACACACACACACACACACACACACACACAGAGAGAGAGAGAGAGAGAGAGATTTCCAGCCATGCACGCAGACAGATAGAGAGAGGCTACTTCCATCGATAGGATAAGAAAGAGAGAGAGAGAGAGAGAGAGAGAGAGAGAGAGAGAGAGAGAGACACACTCCCTCTCTCTCTCTCTCACACACACACACACACAACCTCCTGATCACTCGGAAACATTCTACAAAACAGTTATGTTTTTTTTGAGTGTAT